GTGTGTGTCACACGTATTTTAGGACGGCATTTCTGTCCAGACGTCTTATAATGCTATTTCTCTCGTTCTTACGTTTGCGATAGAGGATGGAAGATCGCCGCGACTCCCACCACTATTCCCTCTCCAAGCGTCCGACGATCGTATACCGCTAGCTCCCTCCGCCACTCCGTGCTGCTCTTAGCTCACCTACACGCAGCAGTGTATGAGTGACGCGTTATCGTGTGCGAGTCACACGGATATTCGGACGGCATTAACGCCGGTGCGTGTACACACGCGTGCTTGAGCACGTGCTCGAACGTTAGGCCATAACACTCTCAACTGTCGAGACGAGTACATCGGGAGCTGCCGCGATATTTTATAATTATTTCGCGCCGATTTTTAATACCACATTTTGACTTCGCCATAATTAAGGCAATAATTAACACGAATTGAGACGCGTAGTTTTCACGCCAGCAGGTGCTGCGGGTTTTACCGCGACAGGTAATTACCGCGTTTTATTTACTTTTTTACTTGTTAAGTAGAGAAACATTGCGATCGAGTTGCTCAATACCGATCAAATATTATCATCATCCATTTATTATTCGAGTAATATTACTTCTTTATTCGGTTGTCATTTAATTATTTTTATTACGTATTGGGAAGCAACTTGAGCGTTCCGTTACGACGATTTCCTTATTTCGTCTTGCTGTCGTATAATTAATTGATACTACCGGATATTATTATAGAGTTGTCGACCAGATATTAATATCATCCATTAATTCCAATTAATTGGAATCGAGTTTCTTAATGCCTCCATTGTCGTGCAACGAATTAATAATCAAGTAAATCTGTTTTTGTGTTGCAGAAACGAATACTTTTCTCTAAGAGGATGCTGCGCCGGAGGATCCGGCTCGGGCCTGGCAGAGTTGGTGCGAAGGTGAGTTTCACTGATTTGAATTCATTATTCCCATAAATCCGATAAAACTGGAAATTCTTTTATTTGAAATCGAGTTCCTTAATGCCTCCATTGTCGTGTGTAATACTAAATTAAATCTGCTTTCTGTTGCAGAGACGATGCAGATGACCAGCCGACTCTTAGGGGCTGCTGCGCCGGAAGATCCGGCTCGGGCCGAGCAGGGTTAACTCGAAGGTAAGTTTCATTAATTAGCATTTATAATTAGAAACTTGACAAGATTGATAATTCTTTTGCTCAAAATCGAGATAATTTGAATCAAATAAAAGATCACGTTAAATCGTAATTACACGCGGGAGAATTTTTTCTGAGTAACATCATCACTTAAAAAATTTTGATTTGTTCTAATTAAGAGATTTATTTGCAACGTCAAGACAAAGAAAAGTGAAATATTCCAAGTGTAAATGTATTCCGGAAAATTCTTCCAGCGTGAAAAATATCACACTTATTTTTTTTTTAATCTTTCAAACTTCTTTATTCAAATCAACATCAATGCACGAATCTAATCGGTGAAATGATATTTTTCTGTTCCAGAAACGAGAGCAGAATGTGGTTACCCTGATCGGCGGTTTGGTGAGTCAAAACAAAAAACATATTGATAATAGAAAGACAAAGTCTTTCGATATAGTGCATGCTTATGAATCAATGCGATTTACTTTGCTGTAGTTGTAGTATGCCGTCCAATAAAAAACACCCTGCTCGAAACGTTTAGAAAATCGCTTTTTTAAAGAATAATTTAGTAATGCATATTCAATATAAATTTGGCATATAAATTTTCAAGTAATTTTCTCTCAATATACATATATTTATTAATTGATTAACTTAGATTATTGATTGATCAACGATTTTTGTCGGAGGAAATTTTTATTAATCAAACCCCAACACTATCTGGTAGATGCTTAAAATATTGAGTATATACGCTCTGAACATTCAAGATTTTGTAAAATTATTCAGTTTTATTGAATGCGATCTTCCTGGTGTCTTGAGCAGTGCGCCAACGCGCAATGAGATTGCGCCACACATTGCGCTACAGAAAATGCGCAATCACATCACCCGTGTCATAGATCTTCCGTCGATCGTTAATTTTCCTAATTTTCTTTCTCGCGTGAGCTTAAACCGCGGTTGTATTTCATAAAGTTATTCGTGCTTCGTTATTAAGTAAAATTCGATATCACCTGCGGCACTTGCGTGAAGCGATCTAACGTGATTATATAAACTGCTCACAAAATTAATTTTGTTGGAAAATTTTCAGGTTTCAATTTTTCACTTAGAATTAGAGTTTCCTAATGCGGAAGACAATACTAGCGAGCGTTGATCCCTCGCGAAAAACGCGATGTACATAAGTCAGATATGTGAGTAGTTGTTTGTTTATTTACGCGGCGCGCAACAAGTTTCATCGAACGTAGACAGACGTCTCACGCGGTAACATTTTTTCGCGTGAATTTTGAATAAAATCTTTATCTCTTTCGTCACAAGTTTTATAGTTTTTGATTTTTCGTTTACGCTCGCGTTCGCGATTATTAATTTGATAGGTTTGAGAATTTCACCGGATCGTATTTGCGGAAAAGTTGCGAGCGAACTTCGCAGAAATATTGCGAAGTTATTATCCGCAAAAACATTGCGGAATTATCTTCGCAAGGGTATTACGGAGCTGTTATCCGCAAAAATATTGCGGAATTGTCTTTGAAAAAGTATTGCGGAGTTGTTATCCGCAAAAATATTGCGGAGCTGTATTGCAACTTACTACGCTGCTCCATCGAAATGTTACTTTAGGGATATTCCGTGTCGTACGTAAGAATCTCGCACAGATTACTTCGCCTACGCGTCGAAAGATTTCGCGAAATCGGCCTTCGATTCGCGTCGCGTGTTCCCTTCGCTCGCGGATTCCGTTTTTTTCGTAAGCGATTCGTATCGCGCGTGTATCAAAGCGATACACTACAACTCTATCGGACCGTTGCTGAATTCATTGTATATACTCGTCGTTTATCCGACAGGCCGAAAAATTTCCTCGAAGACGCAGACATTTCATACGCAATTCACAACTCGGAGTGTATCCCTCTAGAGAAACGGGATTTTTCGTGAAACCTCCTTTAGATTACCGCGGTCGGGAGTGAATTACAGGCGACGTGGGACACGAGGACTATTGCAATGTCAGATGCAACGACAGGATGGCTGATGGACCCTGGACACCGTGGGACGACGCGCAATGGTGAGCGTTCAATTTAGACGCTCATATAGTAGACACAAAGCGTTACTTTACATAGATTGCATGTACGTAGACGTAAATCGCATTGGATCCGACGGAAAGTAAAGTAAGAATTGGAATTTGCAATTCGCCGGAGTTTCGTAGGAATGATTGAACCAAAGAATTTAGCTCTGAGATTTTCGCAATAATTCAATATGTTAAGCATTTCCATTTCTTTAAGAGTACTGACTAGCTATATTCTTAGAAAAATGTGCAAAAAGATGCGATTGTTAAAAAATAAAAAACGGTTTCTCAATTCATTTCAAGCATTTATAAGGTTTGAATTTTTTTTATTTGGTTTAAAAAGATGTGAATGGAGTATGAAAGCTTATAATTTTTTGAATTTGATCATTCTTGTATAACAATGGCCAATTGAAATTTTGGCTTGGCAAACTTGGTTTTCATCGGATTATTTCTTGATGATACATTAAACTGACATATTTCAACATGTCATATTTATATGCTCTGTATATGTTATATATGCTTTTTTATTCTCTATATATGTTCTATATATTCTATATATATCCTATATATGCTCTACATATATTCTATATGATTAATGTACTTTATAACTTGTTATGTCGTATTATACAGGGTGAGTCATTTTAGTCTATGGATCCGAATATCTTCCAAATTACGGTATCTACAAAAAAATGGTTTAGATAAAAGTTGACCAGGACAGAGGGGGTCATTCAATTGTACCATTGGTTTTGACCTTGAGGTCAATTTTGAAGGTTACTTCAAGGTCACGATGGTTTTTTCTAATGGGACACCCTATTTTTGACTGCGGATTTCGAAAGAGCGGAAAATTTTACATCAAACTTGTCTTATGAAAAAATTGTTTTTGCGACCTTGGAAAGGTCAAAAATGAAGGTGAAATGTCTGAAAAACGATCTGGTGTA